ACTTACCCAAACCCTGTACTATAACTACTATTACCTTAAACCCAAGTACCTAATTATTGGGTACATGGACCCTTTGGGTAAGTTTTGGGAGACTTGCAGGGGCCACCTGAGCTTTCACGAGTTCAGCTTCATGTTTGGCGATTTCGTTGCTGCGGCCGCTGGGCTTACAGTCTTGTTTTTTGTGATATCAAGGTCTCAGGAGCTTCCCTAAAGCCTAAACCCCTAAGCCTAAACCCCTAAACCCTAAGCCCTAAAAACTCAAGGTGTCGGCTTCTCATAGGATTGTGAAGCGCAGAAGTTTTAGTGCAGCTCATATGATTATTTTCCAGTGCGTGAAGGGCCAGGGGAGTTGTACCCAACTTTTGGAATTGGTGCTACTCCCTCTGGCTCCTAAGTCTATAAACATTACCTACATTGGGCCCTGAACCCTATAAAAACGGTGGATGCTAAACATCCTGCATGACCCTAAATACCCAAAACCTTGGGAATAATGTTACTATAGTATACTAAGGTCATGCAGGATTTTAGTATCAACAGTAGCACCTACATGGAGTCTTGGGGTTTGGGTAACATATATATATATATACATATATATTCGTGCGTAGTTCTCAAACCAACCGCTGTATAATCCCCAATAGAGAGCCCCCCCTAATCCCCGTGTAGCCCCTGTCAACCCTAAACCTGCCTTGCGGTCCGTACTTGGAGGGTCATGGGCACTTAGTAAGTAGGTTCATAATTAGGATAACTACAGTTGCTATATGGGTTATAGGGGTTACTACCTCGCTTACTAAGTCCTCCTGACCCTAAACCCTAAACCCTAAACCCTAACCTACTTACTAAGTCCCCCTGACCCTCCAAGTAGGGGCCATTCTTCTGAGAAGCTTTCATGTGTCTAGTGCTCCCAGGAACCAGACGGTTCAGGGTTTAGGTTTTAGGGTCTCAAGTACCAAATAATCATATACTTACCCAAAACTTGCACTATAATTACTATTACCTAATTATTGGGTACATGGACCTTTTTGGGTTAGGGTTTAGGGGATCGTTTCATGGAGTGAAGAGATGCTATTTCACGTTCAATCGTTCTAGTGGTCCTCCACCTAAGCAACCAGATCTCAAACAGTCTAAACCTCAAATCCCAAACCCTATGCCCTATACCCTATAACCCTCAACCGCTTCGTCAGCCATGACATGAGGGTCTGCAAAAGAAGCCTTTGACATGCTCTCGATGATAGCAAATACTTCCTAATTGATATAGGTGCTTGTGTGAAGCCCCCATAAACCCCAAACTCACCACCAAGAAGCTGATACCCAAAGGGGTTCTGTCCAACAAATCTAAAACTCGAGCCTGCAAACTCTAACCATGGCATCGACTCCGAATTCCTAGGCCCTAAACCCTCAGGGTCCAAGTACCTAAAAATCATATACTTACTCAAAACCTGTACTGAAATTACTATTACCCGGTACATGGACCCTTAGGGTAAACCCAAGAACCGAATGCCAAGGTCATTCTCCTTGACTTCCTGTACCTTGTTCTTGTTGACGAGCGTGCCTTGGTTCAACACTTTCATGTGGTTGATGGTTTAGGGTTTAGGGTTTGTAGGGTTTCGGAAGTCTCTTCAGCAATCATTTCCAATTCGTATTATAGTATACCCCGAAGGAATTGTTAAGCATAGTTTTGTTATAGGTCTAAGGAGACTACAAGTTGAGGGCAGAATGTTTCCAACATAGAGGATTGCCTGTATTCGGATTCCTGCTCAAAAGAAAGACAGTTTCTGGGGCATGTAAGTGGGACGCTTGCGTTTCGAATGGCACATGTCGGAGCCTGAAAATGTGTGCTTTCAGCTTAGTGCCTTGTAGATCCTATCGGAATATTCTACGGTTCTCCACGAGGCTTTAGAATTGCAATACTCATAGAAAAAAGAAGTAGCAGTAGAAGCAGAAGTAGTAGTAGTAGCAGCAGTAATAATACTAGTAGTCGTAGCAGTAGCAGCAGTAAGAATCAGAGAAGAATTGGTTGTAGTAATGCTACTAGCGAAAGTAGTAGTATTAGTTACCAGCCCAGTCTGGCCATGATCCTAGGGTTTAGGGTTTAAAGACCGAACCCCGGCAAAGAACCAAGGCAGAACGAAAAACACCAATTTTCCAGGGAGCCCAATACCCCTTAACTAAGGTAGATACTTAGAATCCTGCTATTTAAAGTCCAAACCATGGGCCCCTCGTATGGGCCCTTGGCCATGGGATCCTTATACACCTACTTGATGCCTTATACGCACCCGTAAGGGTCCCAGAATCCCCTGAAAGGCCGAAGGGCCCATATCAGGGGCCCATACTTCGAACCTTGGATGTTAGGGCCGTTAATGGGACGTGTTTAGGCGGCTGAATGTAGGGTATTTTTTAGGTGGACCCCACAAGGTGTAATAGTGGTGGTATCATTGCAATAGAAGAGGGCCTTAACATTATCACCGTTATCCCGTGCAGTTACCATTACTGGAGTGGTGGGCTCCATTTCAGACAGCTTTCTTGGTGAAGCTGGATCGGGCTTGCTGGATTTAAAGCAGTCTCAGGCTCCATGCAGCTGCTCATGGGCTGCAAGGACTGCAATTTCTGGGGTTCAGGAATTAGAGTTCAGGGTTTA